CCCCCCCCCCCCCCCCCCCACCCGCAACATCCTCATTCAAAGACCATACTGCCCCTTTAATTTCATCAAGATCAGGGAGCTTCCTCATAAATTATCCTCCTTTGTAATGTTGGTGGGAATGTGGCTAAGAATATGAGATGGATCTGTTGTACTGTTTTAAGAGAAGAGGGAAGTGAAGTGATCAACTGCTTTCTCACCATTCTTATCCTCATCCACATGACTTAAGCCCGTGTCATCCTTAATATTTGTAATCTTGAGTTTTGCCCTTTTCCCCTTCACAAAAGCATGATAAAAGTTGGTGTTGGAGTCCCCTTCCTTCATCCAAGTAATTCTAGATTTCTGCTGCCAGAAACTAATTTCAACTTTACAAGCTTGAATAAGTTTGGTAGCTTCAAGATTAGCTTGAGCTCTGTGATCCTCAGTGGGGTTATCCTCATATTTGGCTTGTGCTGTAACGTCCCAAAACATACCCTAGAATTATTAATGAATAATTATTCAATTAATCAATTTTTTTGATTAAAATAAATTATTGTTGGGCTTTGGGCCGATATGAAATATGTTTTAATATCCAATATCAAAATCTGGATAAATCTCATAGAGATAAATCCAATATGTTGATTATTTGTATGGTCTTGATTGGTAACCTGAGTACAGACCCAAATCAAGAATAAATGAAGAAATTATTTATAATATGAACTTTAAAATGATTTATTGAAATAAATCATGAGAACAAATGGTACGAATTAAATGTGAGAACCTTTTATGAGAAAGGTCAATTAAACCAATTTTGACTCTGTCAAAGTCAAACACCGAAAAATATGATGTGAGAAAAAGTATTACAAATAAATATAAAAATCATATAGTTGGATAGAGTTTAACTGTCTGATCGCAATGATACAAACGGAATTTAATTCGGAGAAAGTTGGACCAAAAATTATACCCCGATTAGAACCAAAATTGGTCCCATTCAGGGACACTATGTGAACGGCACCTCCTAGCGCACTAACCGATCTCAGGATCGTGAAAATGAAGATGCAACTTGTCTTCTTCCCCTCATCAATCCCTATATAAGGGAGAGCTCATTTCCCATTTACTACATCATTCTTTCTACAATTTAGTTCATTAGAATCTTGAGAGTGAAGGGAGTAATCTGATAGTATTAGTTGCCGTCGAGGTCGCCAGAGCAAGACGTGGTGTTCGCCGGAAGTTCTGCCGGAAAATTTCCAAAACCTCTGTTAAGCTTCGAGGTAAGCCCGTAGATATATCTAGTGACTAGAATGTTCATATAGATCGTTTCTACGTTCATAAACATTCATTTGGTTGAGTTTGTGTTTGACATGTTTGAAGAACCAAGAATCATAAACCTTGAAATTGTTGTTAAAACTACGAAGTAATGGTACCAAAATGATCTATGAACCTTGGAGAACCTTTCTATATACTTTAATTGAAGTTTGGTGACTAAAAATGACATTTCCAAAAGTTGGCTCGAGAAAGAAGACGACTAATAATCGATTATTGCATGAAAAATCGATTATATTTTCGTTCTGGTCAGGAAATCGAACTCAGAACCCAAAAATCGATTATTTTTACACAAAAATCGATTATTGGACATGAAAAATCGATTTTTACATTATTCCACTGAAGAAATTGAAGTCGGTAGCAATTAATCGATTTTCCTATGATATATTAATCGATTACTGTTCAGAAAACATGGTTTTTGAGCTCTAAAATCCTATTTTTGATACCAATTAATTATGATCATTATAAGGATGTTTTCCACCATGAAAATGATGTTTTTAACAAATAAAACATTATGTGATGCATGACGGTAAGTTAGAGTGTTATCACTCGAAACTAGACCGCTACTTGTTATTGGATGTTATATTAATTGATGACTAGGATGAATGATTATTATGGATGATTATGAATGATGAATCTACTGATTAAAATGATTAATAATGGTTGAACCATGATTAAAATAAATAAATTGATCAACAAGAAAATGATGTGTATGGTTAAGGATATCTAGAAGACTTTAAGATCTATCTATTAGCTAATTGATGTTAAGACTATCTAGAAGACCTCTAGCATAGATCTTAGAATGAACTTATGAAAACATGAATAGTTGATGGATTAGATAAAAATGCATAAACGGGATTCGTAGTCCAAACTAGAGGATCACTCGTTTGGGAATGCCCGATCCAATGATGATCATTCGCTATATTGTCTGTAATCATTTGCCTGAAACTAATGATAGTTTAAGTGTCTGATTGCCTTAACTGACTACAGTTAAGTGTCCGAAATCAATTGCCTTAAACTAATGATAGTTTAAGTGTCTGATTAATAAATGCCTTTTAAGAATCTGGTTATGGAAATTATGATTTGGCCTTAGACTAAGAATAGCTAAGAGAGTTGTTATGATCTGGCCTTAGATTAAGAATAATTTAAGAGCACTATTGAAATAGTATCTGAATTAAATAAAATGTGTTGATATGCACTGAACAATACCAAAACGGTGAATGTCTGAAATGAACATTGTGTGCATGATATCAAATGATTTGATTATGAATTTAGATTCAGTTTGTATGGATGTTCGACGCATTAGATATGCTTACCTAGCTTTACCGCTGAGCGTGTAGTGTGTTTTATTTGCTACACGCAGGTAAATAGAAAGCATAATGTGATCCTGGCGGCAGATGGGGCGAGATTGTCGGGATGGATGTGACAAGTTTTGAAATGATTAGTGATATGTCAATATTAAATTCGCTTCCACAATATTGTTGTATACTCCGTACTGTATGTGTTATGAAACATATTATTTAGATTAATAAAGTGTGTTTAAAAAGTTTTAAATTTTTACGATTACCAAGTTAAATACTTTAGTCCGAATGGGGCTGCAGACCTAGACGGATTAGGGTGTTACATGTGCTTCTAAGGCTAAGAGTTCCGCATTCTTAACATTGAGAAAAATGTCCCCAAAAACATCTTTACTCCAAGTTCTAGTGACTCCTTTGAGAAGTTTTATTTTTTCAGCAAAGCCAAACATGCCATTCACATTCCTGCTGCCCTCCCAATGCTCCTTGACCATTGGTAGGAAATCTTTGTGTGAAAGCCAACAGTTGAGGAATCTGAACATTTTAGGGCCAAGATAATGAGAGTTGAGGCATTTGAGAACAAGGGGTTTATAGTTTGAGCCACTTTTGCTTAAATGTGAAAGAGTAATTTCCTTAAACTGGTCCATAGCCTTAAAGTTCAAGAGAACCCTGTCTAGTCTTCTCCAAACCATACCAGTAGATCTACTGCCACTCCAAGTGTAGATACCTCCGGAGGAGTTAATGTTATTGAGACCACAAGCTTGGAGGGAGTCATTGAATTCATCCATGCCTTTGGCATTGGGTTTGGTACTACCTCCGTGCTCATCCAGTGAGGCAACTATGTTAAAGTCTACACCGGAAAACCAAGCCAAGTCCGATGTCATGTGTGCTGTAACGCCCCAGAAACCGGTATAGAAGTTATTTGATAATTAAATAAATAAGTATTACTTATTTACGACAATCTAGTGTTTTAAAGAATTAAAAGATATTTAAAAATTATAATCGTCTCAATATAACAAGACTAATCTGACTTTATTTGTAAAGGTTTAAATTAAAAGACTGATCGGTATTAATTAATCGAGAGAATTAAGACGGACCAGTTGGAACCAATAAATACTCGTTGAATGATTATAAAAGTTTTATCGTTGGGTAGGGATCGATGAATCAAATCCAATGACACGAACGATCTCAATTCGGAACAAGTTGGCCCAAAAAGTGTGTTTTTACTCAAACACGTTATTTTAAATTGAGGAGCATAAAAAAGAGAGAAAGACCAAAGTAGGACCAAAACATTGAAAATATACCAAAATAGGACTTCCATGTTTTTATTCCCGAAATAGGACTATATTACCAAACATGGTTATATACATTACCAAAAAAGTATAGTAATTTGCACATGTACACTGCCACATTACCACAATGTAAAGTCACATTATGACAGTGCAAAGTCATATTTTGGGAAAAAAACATGAAAGTCCTATTTTGGTATTTTTTTCTATGTTTTAGTCCTATTCAGGAATGATTTCTATATAAAAAACCCATACACCGTATTTCAGATCCTCGATTCACGATTCAGCGCCGCCGAACCAGAACCCAGCCCCCCGACCTTCTTCTTCGATCTGCTCCATTGTCTCCTTCCCGACCGGCAACGACCCAGCAACATCGGCAACTCAAGGGCACGGCGAGACTGGACAGCAGCGTTTTCCGGCGACCTCGGTCGTGGCAACTCCCATCGGCTCCGGTGATGCGTAGGGACGGCAGTGGCGAACGACCTCCCGCGGTGATGATGTCCCCCGGCCACTTCCCTGTCTCCTCCAGTTTGGGTTGAAGCGGCGACCAGTACGCGAGATGGCGAGTCCCTCCCTGTCCAGTGACAGCCTCTGTGCCGGCAACTGCCTCTGTTCCGGCAACTGGTACATGGCGACGGTACTCCGGCAATTCTCGTGGGCGGCAGCAGCAAATAAGTCCGGCGACACCCCTGTTCCATCGACCATGGACAGCAAAGGACGAGGCCGAGCAACAGTGGCAATAGGTCCAGATGGTTGTGGGGTGTTGGCGGCAATCTGAACTGTAGAGAATATGGCACGTGTTCCACATGTTATTTTCAGTTGTATCAATTAGTTAGTTACAGGGTTGTTACACTTTCTGTTATATTTCTATTTTCCTTTCTGTATCTGTATATATATGTGCCTCCCAAGTCTGTGTAAAGCTGATCTGAGATGATTGAGAAATAAACTTTTTTCTTCCTTCTTCTTCACGCTGCGCACTGGTTTACATGGTATCGGAGCGTAGGATTACTCATCCTCAACTCTGGAAATTTCTGTGAACACTTTTTTTAAGCAAATAGCTTGTGNAAAGGACGAGGCCGAGCAACAGTGGCAATAGGTCCAGATGGTTGTGGGGTGTTGGCGGCAATCTGAACTGTAGAGAATATGGCACGTGTTCCACATGTTATTTTCAGTTGTATCAATTAGTTAGTTACAGGGTTGTTACACTTTCTGTTATATTTCTATTTTCCTTTCTGTATCTGTATATATATGTGCCTCCCAAGTCTGTGTAAAGCTGATCTGAGATGATTGAGAAATAAACTTTTTTCTTCCTTCTTCTTCACGCTGCGCACTGGTTTACATGGTATCGGAGCGTAGGATTACTCATCCTCAACTCTGGAAATTTCTGTGAACACTTTTTTTAAGCAAATAGCTTGTGTTCAACAATGGAAGAAACAGAAGAACGCACATACCGGCAGGATCCTTTGTTTTTGCATAATTCTGATCATCCAGGCATGGCTCTGACGGCGACTAAGCTGAACGGAGCAAATTTCATTCCCTGGAGCCGTTCTGTCAAAATCTCTCTCATGTCAAAGATGAAAATGGGTTTCATCGATGGCACTTGCAGAAAGCCAGGTCCAGATTCTCCAAATCTGGTGCAATGGGAACGATGTGATAACATGGTGTTCAGTTGGCTCCTTCATTCCATTCAGACAGATCTTGCTGAGGCTTTCCTTTATGCCTCATCGTCTGAAGAATTGTGGAACGAATTGGAAGAGAGATTTGGACAGAGCAATGGTCCCTTAATATATCAGATTGAGAAGAAGATTGCAGATCTTCAACAGAACAATGATTCTGTTGGAGCGTACTTCACCAAACTCAAGAAGCTTTGGGATGAAATGGCCACTGTGAATGAACCACCAACTTGTCAATGTGGTGGCTGTACCTGTGATGCCAAGAGAAAGGCCAATGAAGCTGATCAGAAGAGAAAACTGGTTAAGTTCCTCATGGGACTGAATGATGGTTTTGATGTGGTGAGAGGACAGATCCTGTTGCTAGAACCTTTTCCATCTGTCAGTAAAGCCTGTAGCCTTGTTCAACAGGTTGAACGACAGAAAACCATCACAGGAGCACACACCATTGGGGCAGAAATGGCCGCTTATGTCAATGGCAATGATATAGATGGACAGAGCAGTGCTATGTATGCTGGAAAGACTAATAATCAGAGACAACCTTTCTTCAGCAAACCAGATCCAAGGAAGAATAAAGGAATCTGCACTTACTGTAAAGGAATTGGACATGTTAAGGAACAATGTTTTAAGCTGATAGGCTATCCTGATTGGTTCAAGGGAAACAAAGGCAAGAAGGGTCAAAGTTCTTATGGGGGTAACAAGTTTGCTGGAAATGCCATGTTGCAGAGCCAAAGTGACTGTATGGAGACGCCACTTGAAGTCCTGGATGCAGAAGATGAAGGACACAGTTTTCAGGCAAATTCTGCACTTGTTAAGAACTTGGCTCAAGAAGTTATGAAGATGATGAATGAGAGAGGCAACTCAAAGCAATCAGATACTCATTCCCTCAACACCTATGCACACTTTGCAGGTAAACACAAATCTATGGCTTCTACTGTCTTAAACTTGAATGATGCTGCAGCATGTTGTGTGGACAGTCAGAATGTGATCAATTGGATTATAGACACTGGAGCTTCAGATCACATGACTCATTCCAAACTTGTTTTTTCTGAGATATTTGACCTTGAGACTCCTATCATGGTCACATTACCTGATGGAAAATCCATAAGTGTGAATAGGGCAGGGAATGTTGTTCTGACACCTAATTTGGTTTTAACTGGTGTTTTATATGTTCCTGAGTTTAAATTTAGTCTCATCTCAGTGAGCAAACTCATTGACGCAAATAAACTCAATGTGGTGTTCCTATCTGATAAGTGCATATTTCAGGACCTTTCAACTAATCAACTTCTTACAGTGGGATCAAGAAGTGATGGTCTGTACAAGCTGAAGGTCAACCATAGTCCTCAAGTTGATCTTGATGCACATGTCCTGGCAGCAAAGTCATGTAAATTTGAGCTTCTACATGCTAGACTAGGTCATAGTTCCTTGTCTAAGATGAAACACATATCAGAGTGTAAGGATTGTATGATCAATCAGTTGAACTGTGACACTTGTCAACTTGCAAAGTTTCATAGACTCTCTTTTAATGAAAGTGTTTCTTTTACCAATGTACCTTTCAAGCTCATACACTTAGACTTGTGGGGTCCTTACAGAAAACCCAATATCACAGGAGCAAAATTTTTCCTAACTATAGTCGATGATTACACTAGAAACACCTGGACACAACTATTGCAAAACAAGGAGCAAGTCAGAACAACCATTCTTCATTTCCTAGCAATGGTTGAGACACAGTTTAAAACAAGAGTTGAATGTGTTAGATCAGACAATGGGACAGAATTCATTAACTCTGCCTGCTTTGATATTTTTGGGTCAAGAGGCATCATTCATCAAAGATCAATGGTGAAGACTCCACAACAAAATGGAATAGTGGAAAGAAAACACAGACACTTATTGGATACAGCTAGAGCTATCAAAATACATGCCAATCTTCCCAAATGTTTTTGGGGAGAATGTATACTAGCTGCAACCCATATTATAAATAAGCTGCCAGTAGAGAGACTGAATTGGAAGACACCTTTTGAGCTGCTTTACAATAAACAACCATCTTATCAAGAACTCAAGGTTATAGGATGCCAATGCTTTGCTGCAAACCTCCATACCACAGACAAGTTTGACAACAGAGGAATCAGGAGCATTCTTCTGGGATATCCTTTTGGACAAAAAGGATATAGACTATATGATGTGACAAACAAAAGAATCTTTCACAGCAGGGATGTTGTTTTCCAAGAAGATGTTCTCCCTTTTCAGAAACAGGATCTAGCCAAAGCTTTTCCTAATGACTTAGATTCAGAACTGCCTCTACCTGTCCCATCCAGCATGGACTGTGATTACAGCCCCATCCTTGAAGGCAACACAGATACTAATCCCACTCTCATGCCACTTGAGAACCAAAATATCCATACACTGGAGGCTGAAAACACTTCTGGATCAAATGTTTGTCCAGACCAATCCTTGGAGAACAGAAGACACTCAACTAGAACCAGGCAACAACCCACATGGATGAAGGACTACATTTTTCCAAAAAGAGGGGAGCAATCATCTAATATCTCCTCTCAACCTTACAGTTTTCATGCTGGCACAAAGGGTATGATCACAGTCCTCCCAAACTACCATTCCACAGCATTTCAAGCTTCACTCAAGAAGGTAATGGCTAATCCTGAACCATATTATTACTCTCAAGCAAAGAATAAACCTGAATGGGTGGAAGCCATGAATAAAGAATTGGATTCCCTTGAGGTAAACCAGACTTGGGTTCTCACAAAATTGCCTCCTGGAAAGAGACCTTTGACACCTAAATGGGTGTACAAAGTCAAGTACTTACCAGATGGAACCATTGAAAGGTATAAGGCAAGGTTAGTTGTCAGGGGTTATGATCAACGACCTGGCATTGATTACAAAGATACCTTTTCTCCTGTCGCCAAACTCACAACTGTGAGACTCATTATTGCCTTAGCCACTGCCAAAAACTGGCCCCTGCACCAATTGGACATTAACAATGCTATTTTGCATGGGTTCTTGGATGAAGAAATGTATATGGTGCCACCTCAAGGATACACCAAGGCAAAGCCAGGTGAATTCTGCAAGCTGCAGAAATCCTTGTATGGCCTGAAGCAAGCCTCCAGACAATGGAACCTAGAATTATCCAAGTTTTTTACCTCATTGGGTTTCACTCAGTCCAAGCATGATTATTCCCTGTATACCAAGAAGTTTCAAGAAAAATTTATGGCAGCCCTAGTTTATGTGGATGATGTACTCATCACAGGAGAGGACACAAATCAAATCCTACAACTCAAGGATCAGCTGAATAATAAATTTACTATTAAGGACTTGGGCCAGGCGAGATACTTTCTGGGAATGGAGATATCAAGATCCCAGATAGGCACTTTCATCAACCAAAGGAAGTACATCAATGATCTTTTAATGGACAGTGGTCTTTCTTCAACTCCTAGTGCAAATTTTCCTTTGCCTAGATATCTCAAACTTGCAACTAATTCTGGAACTCCTCTTAAGGATCCCACACCTTATAGAAGAATTATTGGGAGGTTGCTTTACCTGAACTTGACAAGACCTGATTTGTCTTACTCAGTTCAACACCTCTCTCAGTTCCTTCAAGCACCAACTGACATACACATGAAGGCTGCCTACCATGTGCTGAAATACTTGCAGGGTACTCTAAATATGGGTCTCTTCTACTCATCTACTTCAGACCTTAGTGTCAGAAGTTTTTGTGATGCTGATTGGGCTTCTTGTCAAATGACTTCAAAATCATTGACAGGATACTGTGTGTTTCTGGGTACTGCCCTCATATCCTGGAAAACCAAGAAGCAAAAGACAGTCTCTAAGTCTTCAGCTGAAGCAGAATATAGAGCCATGTCAGCAACCACTTCTGAGTTGGAATGGATCAGCTATGTTCTTAAGGACTTGGACACACCCCCTCAGCTTCCCATTACTTTGTTTTGTGATAACAAAGCTGCTATTCACATTGCCTCAAACCCTGTCTTTCATGAGAGAACAAAACATTTGAACATTGACTGCCATTACACTCGTGACAAAATTTCAGAAGGGTTTCTGCAAACTGCCTTCGTGCCCTCCAAGCTACAGCTTGCTGATGTTCTCACTAAGCCATTAGGGGAAGCACAACATCATGATTTGATTTCAAGGTTGGGACTGCTTCCTTTGCTTCCCAGTCCACCTTGAGGGGGGGATGTAGAGAATATGGCACGTGTTCCACATGTTATTTTCAGTTGTATCAATTAGTTAGTTACAGGGTTGTTACACTTTCTGTTATATTTCTATTTTCCTTTCTGTATCTGTATATATATGTGCCTCCCAAGTCTGTGTAAAGCTGATCTGAGATGATTGAGAAATAAACTTTTTTCTTCCTTCTTCTTCACGCTGCGCACTGGTTTACATGAACCCTAACGGGTAGCGCCAGTTAACTCCGGCAACGTCTGGCGATGTTGGG